CACCCCCCAAGGGGGTAAAATAGGGGTGAAAGTTTGTATGAAACTTTGTCAGTTTTACACCGATGGGGATGAAATTCGGCATGAAAGTAGATGTTATGACGTAGGCATCTCCAAGTAAGGATTTTGATCATTTCCACCTCCAATGCGATAATGTAGGGGATGAAAGTTTGTATGAGGCTTTGTCAGTTTTACACAGATCGGGTTGAAATTCGGCGTGCAGGTAGATTTTATGACGTACACGTCCCTTTAGAAAGGTTTTTGAACATTTCCACCCCAAAGTGGGTAATATAGAGGGTGAAAGTTTGTGTGATACTTTGCCAGTTTTAAACCGATCGTGCTGAGACTTTGCATGCATAAAGTTACTATGACATAAGTATCTCTTTAGAAAGGATTTTGATAAATTCCACCCCTAAGGGGATAAAATAGGGAATGAAAATTTAATCTAGAATCATTGAATCTTTTTGAATTACATTCGGTAAAACGATGATTTGGGACCTGAGTAACGTATGATAGTTTTTATCACAGAAGTCCCTCGGGAACGGGAACTATGCGTCAATGCTCCAGGACTCTCTATATTTTAACCACCGAACTTATTTCATAGAGATTCTGTACAACAATAGTCAAAGTTTTTATTACTCAAAACTTACGTGATCGGGCCGGGACTGGTAAGAACCCTGCGGGATTTTTAATTTATTGAAATTACGATAAATCATTTCACAATAGGTAAATCTTAATTGGGCACTGAATTGATTCTGATGAATTCTGTCAGAAGTCATTAATCTACGCGGACGAAGTCGCGGGCAACAGCTAGTGTGACATATACCAATACATACAGCGCCATCTATACCAATACTTTTGTTTTCCCTCGGGAATATCAAATTTTTTTCGGGATAAAAAGTACCCTATTATTTAATCCAGACTACTGACTTTACGTCTGCAAAAATTCAATGCAATCGGTTTAGTAGTTATGGCGTGAAGTCGGAACAAACAAACAAACTCACTTTCCGATTTATAATATTAGTAAGGATTGTATTTTAATTATTAATTTCATGTAAAAATTCTCAAAATGAAATTAATAACTTGATAATGGGTAAAGTGTTGAGGAAAACGAGCAATTTCAAAAACATTATTGCATACAAAATTTTGTTCTAAGTGACCTTTCCTATAATTATACGCCCCGCACATCCTCCTTATCTCTGTGGCGGTCACTCTTGAACTGAACGAACACCTTATTTCTGCAGCCGCTTTATTTATAAATCGTATGAGGTACAAGCTTTCTTAGACGAATTATGGACGGATGAGAGCAATTTCACCAGCAATTTTTCTTTATTGATATTTTTGTATTTAGTTCGGTATTTTTTGATCAAAATCAACAATGTTAAATATCTCAGAAACTAGCCACTTTGGGACTAAAGACCTCAGAACTAATTTTATAGGAAATTTGTTGTATTTTCATCTCCCGAGAGGAATGCGTCAAGTTGTAACTTGTAAGTCGTTGGGTTTATAGTGGGTGACTTGTAAGTCACCCACTATAAACCCAACGCAACTTACAATTTTATTCTAGAGAATAATAGTTAATAGTTAGAAACACGAGCAAAACAAACAGCCCACATGCCCTTAACATGTTCGTCCCCGCCTACGACAAGGAGAGAAAATAAAGGCGTGACATTATTTTTATGAAACGGTACCTACATATATAAAGCCTATAAAGGTCAAAGATCATTTTACACCCCCAGTCGGAATAGAATATATATACGTAGTATGTATAACGCACATTTTATTTAAAACTTCTCTGCGCACAGATTTCAAACCACCCAACAAAATCAACTAAAACAATTTTTCCAGTTGAACTCTCCCTTTTTGAAAAGCAATTCGTAGGTACATTTTGTAAGAAAAGGTTCATGAATAAGGCATTAAATCCGTCCATGTAGCAACAACCTTTCTGTGTATGAAGAATATAATAAATAAAACAACATCAATAAACACGGAGCCTTTTGTATATAAATGTATGTATGTATGTAAGGCACACAATACACATGTATATACAACATTCTCTTTTGTTTTGAAAACAATCAACTATGTAGTTAGCAGTGTTATGTCGTAGATTCTGACGTCATTACAGTTTCTACGCTTGTAACTTACTCTTAAACTAAACTGGTTTATTAAAGTACTAACAGGCTTAGCTACCCTTAACGTTATACTTGCGACGCTACGTGCTAACAATAATGAACTTTATAATGTTTTCATAAATTGCCTCATCAGTTTGAAGCGCGTGTCGAGCGAAATATTACAAGATTTATCGCTTTCCGTCCATTATAGTCTAGTATTCTGACTGGCTGAGAAAAGTCTAACAAGAGAATCTCGACCATTTTGGCCTAACTATTCAAGCAATTAGCAGACCCGACTACTGAGTATGGGATTTATGGATTTGTAGCCTCTTATAGGGTCACTAATAACAAAGATAATAATTGGCAAAAGTGTATAGGTAAAGATCAACCCTTTACCCTTGCCTAACCCTTCGAGTGAGTAGCCTGATGTGGTAACAATATCAATGTTCCTAAACTTTTTCAAAGCAATTAACTATTGAATGTTCACCTGTTTTTTGGTTGATTTATTTCACTGTGCAGCTTCTCGTAGCGGTAAATCAAAGTTTGTGATGTAACTATGTTGACTAATGGTGGAATTCATTTTTTTCATAAAATTCAAACCGATGAAGTCCAGTTTTTAACCGACTTCCCAAAAAGGTGTAGGTTCTCAATTTGGTCGGTATCTTTTTACTTATGTACATACGTCGATTACGCTGAGGTTTGTGGGCCGAAATGCGTGTTTTTTTTTTCGACGCGAAGTACTTAGCTGCTATTTATTCACATAACAATTTCATTTAGTTTGTTTTAGTAATTTTTATATTAATAAAATAAAATGTTTATTTGGTGTAAAAAGCCAGATTACAAAATAAATCTTAATATCTAAACAAAGTCTAAAAATATGTGAAACCTGAACAGGTCCATTCTATTCATTCCAGGTCTAGGAATATTAGGTTTTTGCCAATGATATTGCTGTACTGCAGTATTAGCCATTTCGAAACAGATTTTTTTTGTGTGACTAAGAATTATGACTTCAAATTAATTTTATTTTAAAAACATATTTTTTTAATAAGCAGCACGCAACATCAACGACGTTTACGGAGTTAGCACTACAAACCAATGTACCATCTGTTATTGGTTTGCTCGCTTCCGTTCTGGAAATTTCGACCTGAAGACTTATTAGTCTACGATGATGAATTAAAGGCGATTGTGGAAGCTTATGATACACAATCTATCTAGTTATCGTCAAAACAATATTGGTACATTTGTATCAAATTGGCAAGGTAAGAAAGTTTGACAAATGGATGCCCCATGAACACAATGATCGCCAGTGCGAAGTAAGCGACGAGATGTGCCTTGCACTGCTCAACAATACAAATGAAAGAACTTTGAACCGCATTGTTACCTGCGATGAAAAATGGATTTTGTTTGATAACCTGAAGTGCTTAGCGAGTTGGTTGGATTCTAGTTCAGCCCCTAAACAATGCCCTAAACAAAAACTTACCCCTAGAAAAGTGACGGTCACTGTTTGGTAGTCTAGCGCCGGTATGAGTCATCACAGCTTCTTACCAAACGGGGTAAGCATTACTGCAGATGTGTCCTGTAAAGAACCAGACACAATGATGCAGAAGTTGGCACATCTCCAACCAACATTGGTCAATTGCTCATCTCCACCGTTCCTGCACGACAACGCGCTACCTCATATTGCACAGCAGACCAAGGTCTGTTGTAGTTGACTCGCTTACAGACTACTACTGCAAACTGAAATCTGAAATCTGCAATTATTATAAGCATAATAATTGCTTGAACAATGTAATTTTCACGATGCTTCGTACATTTTTACGTCAATAACTTAAGAAATACTGATCCGATTTGTATAATCCTTTTTTTATTCGGTAGAGTATAGTTTAGAATTGGTACAGAGGCGTATAGTTTGCGTCGTATCTGCCGTATCAATTATAGTGAGCTCTTGGGTTATGACTTATGAGGCAACGTGCGTATGCAAAAATTAATAATAACTTCCTAATTTTTTATTTATTTAATATTTATATATAAATAATTAATTATTATTATGCCACGTGAAGCGCATATTAAAAAAAAACGTACAGCCCAATTGATAACCTCCTCCTTTTTGGGAAGACAGTTAAAATTATGGGTGTTGCCTAGACAGTTTTCCGGGAAAGTAAAGCCCCGTATTCATGGTAAACATTTATTTAGCAATGTTTACCATGAATATTTGGCTTTAGAAATTGGCAATTTTGTAGAGTTTTGATGAAATCTTCAAAAATTCATCTTGGAAAAATGTATGTGCTTTTGTATTTCATAAGAAAAACGTTTACTATAAATTAAATAATTAAACAAATGCAAAAAAAAATAATTTTGTACACCCCCCAATGGACCCCACCAAGGTAGGCTACGCCACTGAGTTGATACCATTGTCCCCTGGGTGCTTACTCTTGAAACCAATCTCAATGTCAATGCAATTTCAATCTGTAATGTAGCTGTTAAAATAGCATTCAGAGTATGTACGGAATATAAAATCAAACTCAATACCATTTAGTTCATTCAATATCCACGCAATACGAATGCAATGGGCTAGTGTTTCAACTCAAGAGTATGAAATTTTACAATATCAATGTCGACCGATCGGAATTGGATTCAAGAGTAAGCCCCCGTGTCAGCATCTGATGATGAGATCTCAGGGAAACCGAGAGCAACCCCCAAATTATAAGCACATTTTATGTTTATTCTTACAATTCCGTAATTTTATTCAACCAAAGTTTCAATGTATCAGACTGTTTTGGAATAGTAAAAGCGGTACTTCTAAAACCTAGGTAATAATCAATTGATTGTTCACAATTTCATAATTAGATAACAAATATAATTATTATTTGTTAAGTTGTAATAATTAGTCGCAATGTATCAATTAGTAAAGACCATATTTTATTTATGGCTAATTATCCTAATGACCATAATCCTAGCTCATTAATTTGTTGAGTATCTATTGTATGACGTAAATTATTCTATTGAAATCTTTTTAAACGTTAATCATTCACATTAAAAAATAATTAAGGTAATCACTTTCACAAGGAGAAATTCGTATATATACACCATTACCCAGCAATATAAATTATTGTTCGTTCCTGATTCCACTCAGTACACTTCTATGGTGACATTATTTTGGTTTAAATTTTAATTTCTATTTTGCCCATCGTAATGAATCGTGTTAGTGCAAATAGTGTAATTCGCCGATTGGAAGTTTTAGTGGCCGCGTTTTTAGAAGATATGCAGACTTTGGACGCAAATGGTGGCCCATTGACGGAGGAGCGTATATACGAGCTATGTGATGAGTGTCTTCAGAATAAAGTTCGGGAGCCTTTGATCAAGGCTCTTGGGGAGGCGTTCACACAACCGGCTATACTCGCGAAGTGTTTTGCTAGCAAAGCAACCGTGAATAGCGACGAGGAGGTAAAAATGAAAGATGACAAGGAGTCAAACGCAATGAGCTTATCAAGTGATCCCGATAAAGACGTGGATAGCGTAGCGAGGCCAGAGCTGGACGTCGCCTCGTGTCGTAGAGCGTTTCAATACCTTGCCAAAGTGCCATCCGAATATTATAGCTCAGCGTTAGTAACGTCACTGAAAACGCTAGCTGAAAATATATACATCGATTTGTGGATAACTAAAACAATGAGCATAGAAGATGTGGTCAACTGCTTCGTTATTGCCTTCGAAGTGCCAGACCTTGGACGTAGTGAATATTTACAGTTAGCTCTGCCTGCACTCTGCCAGGCAGCTGAACATTTACCTCTTAAAGGTAAAGCACAACTGGCGCGTATCTGGGCACAGCACTGCAAGGACAGCTTGCGTCATATATTGGAGACTCTGCAGCAACTCATCACACTGAAGGTCACATCCACCAACTACACCAGGCAGTTTCAACTCCAGGATGATGAGATCGTTACTATGGCAACGAAGTTTATGAAGATAATATACTACGCAAATATTTTAGCTGGTTCGATGGAGCCAAATAAACTACGAGAGGAGCCTATAGTGATTGCCGATCAACAAGATCCGTTCGAGAACGTGCTAAACCTGTACCCTCCGAGTTCCATGAAGGCCTCGAATCAGTTACAGCCCGATGACCCACTAGCCATTGAATTAGATATTAATGTATTAGACGCTAGAAAACCATACTTGCCATTCGAGGAGTTCTATAACAAACCTCTTAGTGATACTATTGAAATGGACGTAGATTATGGTAACTATGAAACGTTCCTAAGATACCCATTTATATTGACGGTGGCCACGAAATCCCGTGGCCTGTACTACGAGAACAGAATTCGAATGTACTCGGAACGTCGAGCTTCATTACTACACGCCGCAGTAGGCGCCGAGCCGCCCATGCCTTTCCTTAGGCTCAAAGTCCGACGAACTCATATCATCGATGATGCGTTAGTTGGGTTGGAAATGGTAGCGATGGAGCGAGCTTTGGACCTAAAAAAGCAATTAGTGGTAGAATTTGAAGGAGAACAAGGCGTGGACGAGGGCGGACTGTCTAAGGAATTCTTTCAGTTAATTGTTGAGGAAATATTTAATCCTGTCTATGGCATGTTCACCCATCGGCCAGACTCGCAAACTATGTGGTTCAATATGACGTCATTTGAAACCGAGTCGCAGTTCACGTTAATCGGCATAATTCTTGGTTTAGCAATCTACAATAACGTTGTACTGGCGATCAATTTCCCGAAGGTGGTATATAAAAAACTCATGGGTAAGAAGGGATCTTTTGAAGATTTGACCGATTGGAATCCTACATTATACAACAGCTTAAAAGACATTCTGGATTATACCGGCGATGATTTAGAAGAAGTATATTACCAAACGTTTAGAATTTGGTATACAGATGCATTTGGCAATGCCATTTTCCATGATCTAAAAGAGGATGGAGACAATATATTTGTGACACAGGACAATAAAAAAGAGTTTGTAGAAATGTACGCGGACTTCTTATTAAATGAGTCTGTGGAGACAAAGTTTAAGGCGTTCAGGCGTGGCTTCCTTATGGTCACTGACGAAAGCCCACTGGCCGCGCTGTTCCGACCTGAAGAGGTTGAAATGCTTGTCTGCGGTAGCAAGAATTTAGACTTCAGTGAATTGGAGAAATCGGCAGAGTACGATGGAGGCTACACGGTAGAATCACAAACAATAAAGGACTTCTGGAGCGTCGTGCACAGTCTATCATTAGATGACAAACGCAAACTGTTGGAATTTACAACTGGGTCGAATCGCGTTCCAGTGGGAGGGTTTAGCCACCTTAAGTTCGTCATTGCCAGGAATGGACCAGACTGTGACCGTCTACCAACATCTCATACGTGCTTCAACGTTCTTCTCCTCCCGGAATATGAAACAAAGGATAAACTACAAGACAGACTGATGAAAGCCATATGTTACTCGAAAGGCTTCGGATTGTTTTAAAAACCAGCGTTGTTGTAAGTCATTACTGATTTTTGTACCATTTATGAATAAAGTTTGTTTTATTTATTGATTCGTTTTAAAAAAATACATTTGCTCCTGTAAATATTTAAATGATTTATGCACAATTACGTTAATATTTTGTAAAACATATAAGTAAGATATGCGAAAGGCATTTGTATTGTATGCAAAAAATAAAAATGTTTACCTATTCAAAGTTATCTATTAATTTACACAAAACGATAATCCCTTATATAAAGAGTTTGGGTATAAAATAATTTTTTTTAAACATTTCTTTAAATAGAAATTTTGGTAATAAATATTCGACGCATGCAATCAATCACAGGCCCTTGTTTACACCAATTTCATACAAAATAATGAAGGTGAAGTCAGGGCCAAAAGTTTATTTAACTTATGAGATAAAAATATCGTGTATCGTGATCCCAGAGCCCTATACATTAAACCTAGTATTTACTGTGAAAATTCATTTACTATTTTAGGTTCCCGCAAAGGATCAACAACAAAGGTCAAATATTAGGTATACTTATATATATACCACGGGGCTACAATACCTTACTTTACCATGCAATACCTTACACCCATTTTAAAAATCATATTTACTACAATAACACCCACTTACTAATAACATTATGAGAGTCCTATACGAGCTATTTATCTATGGCTCAGATCCTTGAAAGTACTTACATTTGTACCTACGTATGATTCTCTAGACTTAATAAAGTATGAAGATACTAATTGTGCAACACACTCCATTGACTCATAAAGCGCTTATTACGTGTAAATGCCACCGGATCCGAAGTCTCGGTAATCGTGATTGCTTCAATTACATCACAGCTAAAGACAAACACTTAGTTCCTAAGTCCTCACACACAGGTAGACTTTAAACAAAGGTGCTGTTTACCACATCTGATCGCATGAGCGTGTGAGGTGCGACCGTGTGAACAAAGTTACATCGATTTTGTCAATCGGTGGAACGTTTTTATTACCACGTTCGCCACTGAAAGAGATTGTGTTGGTCATTTTATTGCTGATCAAAACACTTGTACTGTTTGGGTTTCTATTTATACAGAAACATTCTATAGTGTCCTATACCTTAGATATTATAAGAATATAGAAAAATCCTAGCCAACAGATGCAAGAATTTTGTGCATTTTGTATCCGGCTAATAAATATATAACATCACGCCTTTTTATTCCTGAAGGGGTAGGCAGAGGTGAAACAGAAGTAACACCAACTTTTCACTATTTATGTTATGAGTCCCATGTAATAGGGGGTGAGCCTATTGCCATATACCGGGCACATTTCCAATTTCCAGACTCCGTGCTACTACTAAGATTTTCTTTTGAAAAAACCCAGTAATACTTTGCCCGGGAATCGAACCCGAGACCCCTTGCCCGGCAGTCGCACTTGCGACCACTCGGCCAACGAGGCAGTATCCGGCTAATAAAATAATAATAATTTCGTAATTTCGCTTCCTTAATAACCAAAACCCATCTCAGTTCTAAATACCTCTAAAAAAATATAAACAGCCCACGTAATTGACCTTTATCTGAAGAAAATTGTAAAATATGATACCACAGATGTCGTCTGTTATTGGCGAGTACAAACCTGTTTATGTAAGTTCTACACGTGGATTCAACTTTCCAATCATATCGTGCTAATGGATATGTTTACGTTGGGATCGGATTACTAATACCACTTGCCCTTCAAGGAATATGAACATAATATGATTAAGCTGTATTTAACAAGAGGATATCAATAAAACAAAAGTAAACTAACTTCTAGTCTGTCATTTCAGGTTAAAGAACCTTTGTTTTGTCTACAGTCACAATTTCTTGAACCCAAAAAGGTTTTATTGAACTTAATCAAAAGTAAATCCTTTGTGCCCGATTGACGAGCTCTTTCTTTCCATTGTTACAAAAATATATTCTTTGTAAGTTCGTCCAGATTAATTTCGGCTGAGTCGAGATTAATAGGTAATTACCTATCTATACTAATATTATAAAGAGGAAAGATTTGTACCTATTTTTGTATGTTTGTAATGAATAAATTCAAAAAGTACTGGGCCGATTTAAAAAAATATTTCACCAATAGAATGGTACATTCTTCCAATTTGACATAGGCTACATTTCATTTAGAAAAAAAAATAGGGATCCTTGGTAAAATTTGAACAATGTAACCGAAGGTGTACATAGAAAAATGTGTCTTAAAATGTCTTTCGTCGAATGCGCTGCCGAAACTATTAGCCATAGAACAAAATAATGAACAACAATATTGAAGAACATCATAATGTCTACAAAAAACTCCGCGGTAGCATATGTCCAACTATTGTAGTTATGTTACTACAACAACCGTACGAAGCCGGGACGGGCTGCTAGTAGTATATTTTATATACTTATCTACCTGAGCGCTTTCTTAATTCTTTTTTTCTCTCAATTCTCCAAAGTCTGTTCAGTTTTTATGTTACTTAAGTCCAGGGCCGTGAATTGTTTACGATGTAATCTCTTTTCCTGCTAATAATTAAGGGATAACTAGAATTTCAATACAATCCTAAAATAATAATAATACATTAATTTATGTTGTATACAAACTAATGCGCAAAAGAAATGTCATTATCTCTCGCAATTTCAGAATTAAGGACAAGACCTAAGGATAATATTAATTCCACTTGTAACTAGGGAATAATTTGAGGGAAACAGGACAAAAGGAGAGAAAGTCATGAATATTTAAGTGTCGCAGTAAACATCGCTTCCAGAAGATAGTAACTTTATTATCTATAGAAAATATCAAAATTAAACAAAAAAATGTTTGTATAATAAAAGAAATAGACGTGTACGTGTCATTCTGACTGTCGGTTTTCAAAATTCTCATTACGCGTGGAGTAGATCCTGTTGGTAAATAATAATAATAATAATAATCATTTATTTCAGATTTACATCCATATGTGTTAGTACAATTGCGAGCTTACAAACTAGTGTTAGTAATAATAATAACTATTGATCACGTCTAATCTAATTGAGCACTAACTTGTAGTGGCGGGTCCGGGTGGACTCCCCGATGATGGTGGCAAAACACTATACAACTGCATGCAGCCTTATCCAGCGAGCCAGCATCGGAGAGTCCCACCGATCCGCCAGCGCGCACAAGATGCCGTTGGGACTGTCGCGCATGCGGCGCATGATTGAAGCGCACCGTTTGCGCATGATGGCTGGAAAGCCGTCTGTGTTAGCAGTCGCGAACATCGCAGAAGCGCTGCAGTGCCGCGGCAGCCCCATCAGCACCCGGAACGCGTTATTATATTGAACGCGCAGATCGCTGTATGTCCGCTGCGTGAAGTCAACCCACAGGCCGCAGGCGTAAAAAGACTGACAATACGCCTTAAAGAGCGCAACTTTGACAATCCCCGTGCACCGTGCAAACCTACGTGCCAACATGTTGCACCGGACACACAGCGCCCTACGCTCCCTTTCAATATCCACACTATCCTTAAGGTCCTCAGTGACCCAGTGGCCCAAATACTTAAATTGCTCGACTTTGTTCAGAGCTATGCCACATAAAGTGAAATTTGGAACAAAATTGTAACGCTTGTTATCTGGTCTGAAAATCATTATTTCACTTTTCTTCGCGTTGTATTTGAGCCCATGAGCCACCGCGTAGGACTCGCAAATTTTCAGGAGCCCGCGCAAGGCACCAATCGATGGGCTCAGCAGCACCATATCGTCTGCATAGCTGATATTATTCACACACACTCCATCTATATGACACCCGATGCCGGTGTTGCTGAGCTCATCGATCAATCGGTCGACGTACAGGTTGAAGAGCGTGGGAGAGGTCAACCCCCCCTGCCTCACCCCGCATTCCAGCCTGTACTCCTCCGAGCGAGATCCGGCCCATCTAACAAAATTCTTTTGATTGCTATACCAATGCATGAATAACCGCACAATTTCCCTAGGTAAGCAAGTTTCATCCCTTAATTTCCCCCACAGAATATCGTACGATACAAGATCGAATGCTTTCGATAAATCAAGGTAACAAGCGTATACTGGGGTCCTCCTAGTCGTGTAATACCGTACAGTCTGCTTGAGGCACAGAATAGCACTCTCGGTAGAAAGCCCAGGCCTAAAGCCGAACTGCGCGTCTCTTAGCGAGACGTGTTTATCCAGTTGCTGACCAAGCAGACTGTCCAGTACTTTGGCGATCACTGTGGCCAGAGAGATCGGTCTATAGTTGTTTACATCTGATGTATCACCAGTTTTATTTTTGATGATTGGTACAACTATAGTACGCATTAAATTATCAGGTAGGTGGGAGTGACCTAAACACAAGGTAAAAAACATAGAAAGAACCCTGGGCAGGTGTACACCTGCATGCTGTAGGTGCTCGATACTAAGGCTGTCGTGACCCGGGGATTTACCCCTCACCATGCCTCTGATCACCGTACGCACTTCCTTCGTAGTAAAATAAACACTACGTATACTACTTTCCTCAACATCGGGCTCCTGTCGCGCTAGCCCCATAGGAGAGCCTGCTCTGAAATGGTGGGAGAACATAGCGGCGATCTCACTAGGCTCATGCACTCCCGCTACGCTCACGGGGAGGCCCGGCTTATGATTCATTTTATTGGTGTTTTTCCAGAACTGACCGAATTTCTTGTTTGAGTGTAGTTTCGCTATGATATCCATTTTTATCTGTTGTTGATTATTCTGACACCACTTTAACTTAGATTTAAACACGCGCCTAGATTCACACATATCATCGTAAAGACGACCAGCCCCGGGCTTACCCGCAATCAACCACGCCTGAAAACATAGCCGAGCCCTCCCATGAGCGCCGCGGACGTGCCTGTTCCAACCAGTAATGTATTTACCTCTACGCTTTTCCGTGTCATTATAACTACATATAGCAGCCTCAGACAATATACAAATTATTTCGTCGTACATGTTATCTAACAAGATTTTATGACTTTTATTACAACACAAGTTATCTGAGCAGTTTCTTAATTCTGAAGGAAAATCAACTTCT